TGTGAAATGTTCATGTATCAAAACGGACTCTCTTTTTTTTTAAATATATTTTGAGGTTAATCATTAATGACTAATTCAGCACCCCACACCCAAATAAACGTTTGGGATTTTGGTGTTCTTGCCCTTGTTGTAGAGGCTAATGGTGTTTTTACCCATCTTTTCTAACTTTTTGATTTTACCTTGCGTTTTGAAAACGAATAAACCGTTTGCCCCTGCTTTGGATGTGTGTTAACCTTGGCTGCATTAAACATATTAGAAAAAGGAGAAAAAAAACGATATAAACACATGGGAAAGGACGAAAGTTCCCTTTATACGTTCTGTTCTCTCCCTCAAGAACAAATCTCTCTCACACATATGAATCCATTATACTTATACCAATGCTCGCCACTGGGGCGGACGGGTGGCAGCATGCATGTGCTTGGGCTTGGTGAGCTCGTCTGCTTCCTCTCCTCTGATGCTGTTGCCTATTTTGTGTTTGGTTGGAGGGATAGGGAGAGTATGATGAGGCATCAGACATGTCGGCCCCAAGCCTTGTTCTCTTTTCTTCCTTTCTCCTCCCACGTGCTGTGTTGCTGGACTTGCCCTCGGCTGGCCTTATCCTGTCCAACCCCGCCAGAACACGCCTACAACACCCATGGCTACGAAACCCACCCACACTCACCACTACTCTTCTTAGTCCACGCTTGTCCTAGGTGGGACGATTTATTTTTTGGGGACTAATGGCATATCATGGGAATGTTCCCTAGGTGGGATGTCTGTCCCAGCCGTCCCCCAAACCAGACACCCACAAAAGTGGGATTGCCGCACATCATCTCATCCCTGGAACCAAATGCTACATTAACTTCTCTTAATGGGATGAGGGTAAACAAAATCTTCAGTTTGGGAAAAGAGGGACACAAAGATGAAAAGTGGGGCAAAGTTACCAGAGTTGAACTAGTGGTAAGAATGCCATTGTCCCATCTAAAATATTACTACCAGAGTTGAACTAGTGGTAAGAATGCCATTGTCCCATCTAAAATATTACTTGAATTCTACTATCGATGGTGTCTTCAGTAATTGCCTTAATTTTGTTTAACTGGTGTTGATATTCTGGTTAGCTTAATTTAGTTCATCCTTCTGTATGGTTAACAGACAAGGAGATTATTGCTTGATCCAGCAATTCATGAGGAATTTATACGTTTAAAGGTAAGTTATTACATTCCCTGAATCAGACGGTTCTTATTTTAGTGTATCATCTTATACCTGTATGTTTAGAACAAACATGCAAAACAGTTTTTCTGTATTTGTTTCCTTCAATCCTTGGTTTGGCCATTTTACTTATTTGGGCCCTATCCACTTTGGCCCATATGTGTCTTGTACGGGTATCCAATCAAGTACTTGATATTGAAAGTTTACAATACAGACTGGATATGTATCCAGGGAGGATCCAGGGCATAGCTGTGACGCATCAGAGGACACATGCCCTGATGAGCACCAGCCACACACCTACTATGCCAAGGTACCAGGCTCCTTTGTCCTCTTGTGGATGACAGGGCTAGGCAGCAGGTGCTCGTCGGCTTGGTGATGCTTGTGATGAATGGGTCCCGATCAGTATTTCTTTCAATTAAAAGCACTTTGCTGTTTGTTTCCTATAAGAAACACAGCAAAGGTTTATGATTTCCTTTGCACTACCTTCTTACTGTTTGCCAAATATTGGTCTCAGAAATAATACACATATGATCAATCAGAATTTAAAACTTATGTTTTATTTAGTTGCCTATGAAAGCTATAACTGCCACATCTTCAGACTCACTGGTTATTTATCCATGCATTCCAAATCTTAAGTCTGAAGGGCGGGCCTGGTGCAAGCGGTAGAGTCTTACCGCCCGTGACCGGAAGGTCCCGGGTTCGAGTCGCGGTCTCCTCGCATTGCACAGGCGAGGGTAAGGCTTGCCACTAACACCTTTCCCCAGACCCCGCACAGAGCGGGAGCTCTCTGCACTGGGTACGCCCTTTATTCCAAATCTTAAGTCTGCTTTTGTGCCAGAATCTTGTGGAGGAGAAAGAGAGAAAAATAAAGGAGCTACAGGACAATGTTGCTGCTGTCAATTTTACTCCGTCCAGCAAACTGGGAAAAATGCTAATGGCTAAATGTAGAACATTGCAAGAGGAAAATGAAGAGATTGGGGCGATGGCATCGGAAGGAAAAGTAAGCCTTTTTCCTTCTGCTTAACTTTGCGACCATATAAATTTAGATATGCTTTCTGATTGTTTTTACGATCATCGAAACAGAAAACATGTCCTTGGTCATTTTCTTTTGAAACAACAGACTTCATAACAAAAGTTAGATCTGCTCTTATTTTGCTGAATTACTCCCTCTTTCATTTTATAGGATGCATTAGGGTTTGGAGAAGTCTTTAAAAGACATTATATTTAGAATTACTACAAAATTAATGTTATGTTAAAAGATCTGTGAAATACAAATATATTAATACAACTTAACTACACTAAGTATGCATATAAGTCGGCTAATTGCTTGTCAAAATGCATAATTTTTTTCCTAAAATCCTAATATGCCCCTGTAAAAGGAGATGAACATCTAACAATGTATCTTTGTTACAGATACATGAGCTTGGAATGAAAATTGCAGTTCTGAAGTCTCAGAACAATGAGCTCAGGAATCAATTTGATGGTTAGTGATGCTCTAGTCTATATGGGCTGCTTTCTTTATAATATTTTTTAATGCTTCTCAGGGATTAGTGCATGGCCAAGAGTATTGTTCGCTACACTTTCGAGTCTTTTTTTTTTTTTTTTTTTTGCTTATTCAACATTTATTGCACTATGCTAGCACGGTTAGATTGAATGCTAGTGGTCGATGATGGAGATACTTATGAGATCCATGATAACATTGAACTCATTGCTGGGAAAGAAGTTTCAGTGATAGTTTTATTTGACTGAAATAGACTTTTAATTGGGGTTGGGAATTGGATCCATTTTAGACTAGTTTGCCATGACTATCAGTTTGTCATGCAAAATAAGGATGCATTGTTGATGCGGTTAATAGCAGTACTTCGTCTGGTAATTGGCATTCCCCTTCCTGAGTTACAACTATTGCATCTGGTACCCCAACATATCTTAATTTGCATACTATTTTTTTTTGTGAGTTACTCCCTCCGTCCCAATAAGAATGCAACTATGGGAGTTTTGTCAATCAAACTAGTATAAGTTTGACTAAGTTTGTTTTGCCAATCAAACTAGTATAAGTTTGACTAAGTTTATACTAGCGAATAGTATTAACATTTATATCTCCAACTAGGTTTAGTATGAAAGTATATTCCGTAATTAATTTAATAGTACTTATTTTGTATCATAAATGTTAGTACTTTTTTATATAACTTTAGTCAAACTTTAAACTCTTTCTCCTTGAAAAGTAAGAATTGTATTCTTTTTGGGACAGAGGGAGTACAACCATACAACATAAACTCACAAGTTACCTTTACATAATCTGTGGCCGGCCATAGAATAACTTATTCTATGACCACCTCAATTTACGATAATATCTGTACTAATCTACGATAAAATGAATACATATTTACGACACATATGTTACTATAACTTATGATGATATTTACAGTAAATCACTTAGGAGGAGTTATAAGTAATCTTGTAAATTAGTACGATCGCTATGGTAATTCAAACTGTCATAGAATAAGTTCTATGGCTGACCATGGATTATATATATAGGTCTGACCTTTTTCATTTGTTGTCAGTTTTGTATAAACACATGGATGGTGTAACAAATGACGTGGAGAGATCAAACGAAATGGTAAGCGTCACCATTGTTACTACTGTGTACTATTGGTTGGTTGCCTTTTCTTGTCACGAGATTTTGAGCTCGCATTTTTTTTTGCAGGTGTCCATCCTGCAAGAGGAGTTAGAAGCTAAGGATTTAGAGCTAGCCAGATTGAAGGAGGCACTTTCCCAGAAAGAAGGTACTCAAGACGCACCGGTGGAAGAGAGAGACGAAGCTGGAAATGATCAGAAGGCAGCTTCAGATCCACTGCAAGTGAAAGTGGAAAGTTAAGGGAGTTTAGGCTTTGATGAAGTGTGTTTGTTGAGAATCCCAATGTGCGAAAAGTAACAGCATACTAAACTTTGTGAAACCGGGTCAAGAACCTTTGGGTGGTACTGGGAGGTGGTTTTCCTGATCTGGCAATCTATGTTGGGGCGGGCTGTTTTTGATGACATGGCGTCTAGGTCCACTTGTCAGCCCGGATGGGTCACCTCGCCTCGATGGTTTCTGCGGCTGATAAGCCAGCTGAAGCTAATTTGTTGTGAGAGAAAAATACTGTTTCATGGCTAATAAGCTAGCTGATCTCTTGCGTCGCCGGCACTCTGCTCCTATCCTCGTCGCTCGTGCTTGCCACTGTCCCTCCTCCCTACGCACACTGCGTTGCCAGAGGGCACGCGCTGCACCTGTCCCTGCCGCTCGCACTCGACAGCGTCCCGTCTTGCGGACGCGCTTGACGCCGCACCACTGGCCCCACCGCACACCACCTCCCAAATGCTAACAAACCACTGCATGGTGACACATCAATGCAACCACTGTAATTTCCCACTGTGTGGACGCTGAAGCAACCACATTATTTGCACTGCAGGAACATCAATATTACAGTGCTCGGTGCATGTTATTATCACTTGTTAGTCGAAGACTCAGCGTGCAGCAGATCAAAACAGACCATGTTAGACATGTTTAGGTTATATATATAGGCAGGGAATCACTGCACAAAAAACCCTGGGGAACTCTATTAATAAGAAAACCTCATATTGTTTTGCTAAGATTTCCATTGGCTGAATCAGTAACAATCTCCAACAGTTTATCGAATTAGGGCCGGTCCATGGTACACTTCATCATATGAAAACTCACATGTCTAGCATTATTTGTCATTTTCCGTTCCAAAAATGGAAACCCATCTGGTTCTTTGTTTATTTATCCGACGCCTAGCCAATGCTGGATACCCTCAAGCCCCATATTTAGGTGCTTTCCAGAGCTTAAATGCCACCTCATGTAGGAAGCGCTCAGCAAGCATAGCAAGGTTTCCACCACGCTGTCGATCACATCACAAGAATAAAGTTATTAGTTATACTCATCCTGGAAATCCAGATCAAAGAACAGAAGGGCAATGAGAAGTTCAACCACACCATAATATGTACTGTATGCATAGATTTTCGCACAAAAGGGACAATGAGGGAAGTATAGGATGCATAACAAAAGTTTATGATATTTGGAGCAACATGAAGTGCAGCCAATCAAGCATAGCTCATGGAAAACAATTAACAAGGCATAGCTCAACTATGGATTATGCAGACTGACCACTGATAAAGCATGCCAGGGACAAAAACCAAAATCAAATATAAAACAGAGATAGGTGTGAAGTATGCACGTGTGAACTTTTGTTCACGCCATATTCAGAGCAAAATCTACAATTCTCTTCAATTTTTAACCATTACCATAACCAGCCTGAAATTTGCAAATGGTGTTGCTATGTTGCTGTGATTCAGAATGTTTCTGATGGTTGCATTATGACCTTAGGTGTTTCTGTAGAGATAACTTAAAAGGATATGATGACATGTGTAATGTGTTCATTCTGGTCTAAAATATGTTGCCAGATTTTCACTTTACGATGCATCAATTAGCAACATGTAGAATTTCAATACATCAGCAGAATTTTGGTTTTATAGTACCGCAGTTTGGCCTGATATAAAAAAGCCAAGGAAAGAAAAGTAGAGAATCGTCCCAGAAACCTTTGACAATACACACTGCAAAACTGCACAGATCTTGCATGATGCCTATGCTACGTGTCAAGCTTTTGTCCCCCTTTAAACGGGAAAAAAACCTAAACCACCAGTTTTGATAATTCTTGTGCAGCAGCTTGTGATGTAGCACAGACAATGCGACAACCCACTTCAGAGGGGAGAATTCATCAATCATCATACAATAGTTATCTACCCACAACCCTAAACCTTTTACAAGGTACGACCAAGTCGATCATATCTGAAAACAAGGATTCAGAATAGATGGTGTGACCGAGTATATCATGACAGGGGCTTGTCTACCCTTCAAGGAATCAGTGTGAATACGGTGTGTGTAATTTCAGTTCAGTAACATTAGTCAAAGCAAGCACCACATTCTTTCTAATGCTGGTCCAGCACCTAAATAAGAAAGGAGAACTTTGTCGTTTAAGTTAAACTGTAAACATCGAACACAGCAAAGAGCCAAGATCACAAGAATAGAAAAACCATATCATCTGCAGCACTGAGTACAAGTTTCAGTTATACATAATAAGTAGCATAGATTTAGCATACCTTCATAAACTCCTCAAAAGAAAACCCTTTAGCCAAATCAACACGTGTAACTCCTTCCTGCCACTGTGCCAGTAGAATTGGATGATGAAGTCTGCACAGAAAGCAGCACAAAAATCTGTGAGCCTAGTAACATTATAAAGAGAAGATCTATATATGTACTTCTATTCCTCTTAAATCTTAATAAGTAATAACAACATTGATTTCCAGGATTGATTGATACAAAATCAGATAATCTTATTTGGGCTCTAGGAAAATCAAAAGAATGAAGTGAACTTTCGTCAATTAGACTCGAAAGATTGCTCTAGGTGGCTTATTGCATATTCATATTCATTTATAAAGAATAAATATTGATTTATAAAGAACATATTATGTTTCACTCACACATACTACAAGCACAACTAGCAAAACTTCACTGGAGTTAGATTATACTTCAAAACTTCAGCGAGAATTCATTTGCCAGGGAGCTAGGTGAAGGAAAACATCTACCTGACATCATCTAATGTATGTCCTGCTTTCACTGTGTAGCTCTGGCGTGGGCGCAGTAGATTCAAGTCTGAATCTGTTTTGGTCGAAGAGATTAATAGAGAAAACTCATCCTTATTTCCAGAAGCAGACCCATAGCTCAAAATCACAGATACATGAATACGTGAAGCAATAGCTGAACCAACAGGCGCAGATTCCATGACTGCACCAACTAATTTCTCCAGCCGATTGAGATCTGTCTTCATTCCTAATTTCCCTAACTTGCTGCTTGTGTTCTCCATGGCAACATGCATGAAAACTAGATCGAATTCAGATGTTTCCTGCACATTCCCATCCGAGAATCCTAGCAGATCAAATGCTCGGTTGATTAATCCAACCTCTTTGGTAACGCCGGACGAGCCAGATTGTGGGGCGAAATCATTGGTCTGAAAAACTTGGAAACCAAGATTCACCGCAAAGGAGCTAACACGGGGGCAACTGGTGACCAAGGCAGCTCTCAGGCCCATATACCTGAATTTCAGAGCAGCTACAACTGGTTAGTACTCTTACTAGACTAATTAACATTTAGGAAAGCACAGGGCACATACATGCAGGTAGTACCCACCTCTCAGACAGCTTGGGAACCACTACCTCCTGTGGATCCACTTGGGCAACTTCTTGACCACTTTCCGCATTCTAAAATGTAACAAGTTCAAGCAGTATTACATACAGCACTTACTTTCTCGAACAATCACTCCATCCCAACACAAACGGAAAGCAAGATCTCACCTTTCCGGGGTAGAGATGATCGTAAACGTCGAGCAGCTGCGCCAGTTCCAGAATCGTGCTACTATTATCGTCGGTTCCTAGGCGTATCACAGAACGGAACTATTAAGAACTGAGCGGCGAGCAGTGACAAAGATGACGGGAGGTGGAGTGCGATGGATTAGTACCGGTCGTGGGATGGGAAGCCGGCGGGGAGCGGAGGGTGAGAAGGCCGCAGGAGGCGCGAGAGGCGAACGCATCGAGGTGGCTCCCCGCGGCTGCGGAGCCCGGCGGGGGAGCGAGCACCGCGGCGTGGCCGGCGGCGTAGAGGACCAGCGCGCGGCTCGGCTTGTCCGCCATGTCCGCAACCGTACTTCGCTCGCCGGAGTCGCCTCCTTTCCTCTGTCTGCCCCCCTTCACGGAGCCGCGCTTTATTCCGCGGGGCCTACACGTCGGCCTCGCCACCACGCGTCGGGACAGGGCCCACGTGTCACGCGGGCGAGATTCTAAATGGGCTGATCATGGGCCTCTAGATGGGCTAGGCTCACTTGCAAAATTCTAACAGCCACCGCCCACCAACGTCTTCGCAGATAAATAAAGAAAAACTTAAGCGGACAAAAAAAAAAAAACAAGACGAGAAAGAAAAACCCTAACCATAGGCAAGGGCCTACCCCGCCGTCCGTGTCGGCATAAACCCCAGCCGTCGCTCCTCCGCGGCTCCGCCCTCCCCCTCCTCCTCGATTCCGTGCTAAGCATCGCGGCGAGGGAGCTCCGATGGCCGGAAAAAAGCGGACCCAGACTGACCTCGCGGTTCCGGAGGCTGTGCCTGCCTCGGACAATACCCGGATTGAGGCCGCAGCCGCGGAGGCGCCGGCGAAGAAGAAGAAACTGGCCATGGAGCGGAAGAAGGAGAGGAAGGAGCTGGACAAGGAGCGCCACCGCCAGTCAGCCGAATCCGCCAAGCCCCAGCCGCCGGCAGCGGAGGCTGCGGCTCCAGTGAATCCCTCGCCCGCTCCAGCGGCGGTGGGGCCGGGGCTGCACATGAACGTGTTCAGGGACCTGGCATCACCGGAGGCATCGGTGAGAGAGGCTGCAGCCGAGGCGCTGGTGGTGGAGCTCCGGCAAGTGCAGAAGGCGTACGAGAAGAGCGCGCGGAAGGGGGAGAGTGAAGGTGGCGATGGGGACAGCGCCTCGCAGATGGAGGCTGAGAAGGACGACGGACTGGATAACTGCGCCCCATCTGTGCGGTACGCCATTCGGCGGCTTATTCGCGGTATCTCTTCTTCTAGAGAGGTAGAAATACTTTCCATGAGTTCAGGACGAGCTTATTTGAGCTGGATGATGTCACGATCTGCTTTAATCCATTAACTTTGGTAATTTGTTTGCAGTATGCAAGGCAAGGATTTGCATTGGGCCTTGCTGCTGTGCTCGAATCGATTCGGGCAATCAAGGTTGAATCAATTATGAAGTTGATCCCAAATTTATTGGAATATTCATCTTCTATGAAGGGACCGGTAAATTGAACCCGTCACTACTCATTATTGCTACCTAGACGTCTCTTCATTCATATTTTGATGGCAACTTGCTTTTCTGTTTTAGGAAGCTAAGGACAATCTTTTGGGGCGCCTGTTTGGATTTGGAGCAATTGTGAGGTCTGGTCGTGTTTCGCGACAGTGGACACGTGACAAAAGCTCACCCATTGTTAAGGAATTTGTGAGTGTGGTTGTAGAACTTGGTGGCAAGAAACGATATTTGACGGAGCCTGCAGTTGCCGTGATTCTGGATTTAGTCAGGAAGGTACATCTCTCAAAACACACACTGATACTGCTTTATCACATGATATGCTTTTATTATAGTGTGATGCATATAATATTAGGATTACGTAAGTTAATACAAACTGCAGCCGTGTTGTTAGTCCGTTCTAATTTGACATTTAACATCAAAAGTGTACACTTCCTGTTGGCTGTTGCTGTATATTAAAATAGTACATTTGGAAATAGTCTACGTGTACTATCTCTTTCTTATGGTTGATGCTATGTTAGGGCAGCTCCAGTGTATGATTCGATTTTGGTGCTGAGGTGGATTTCAAAGTTCGCATGCTGGTTACGGTTCGAGTGCAGTAGTGTGGGATTAGCTGGTGGGGACCATAACGGAATAGAAAAAAGAAAAGTATGTGCTGCGCTCTCCTCACACTCCTGCAAGGAGGACGGCAGTGGTACTGACATGCATTAGCTGACTTTTTTACTCTCTCGGTTTGAACCGTAGTGAAGAGTCGATTTAAAGAATCGATTTGCTTGGTTTGGCTGCTCTAGTGTTGGAATTGAACCATACTTGTTTTCTCTCTCCTCACGGTTCGTTTTTTGAGCACACTGGAGCTGCTCGCAACAAGTCTCATACTGTTCATTAGATCACTGGCAGGTTCAATCGCACATCAAATCCTTGATTTAAACAATTATGCTTATTTTACAGTGGTTACTGAATCTTGCTTGGTTAATGAGCAAGAAAACATTGATGGTTGTTTGAAGAATGAAATATGTTCAGCGATTGATTTCAACAATTTGGATTTGTGCCGCTGCCAGTGATAGAAACAAGCAGTTTTTATACATTTGTCATTGTTATCAATGTCATATTGTGTATTCCCTCCGTTCTTTTATATATGACGTTACGTTAATTAGTGCAATTGTGATCTAACCAGCTTATATAAAAAAGAATGGACGGAGTAGCTAATTAGCAACATAATTGCAGACTTGAAGCAAATAATTTTGTTGAACTTTATTTATGTACGAATAAAAGGTGTGGTTTTACCCTATCCATCTGATAAGAATGCTAATTTTTCACTTGAACATGACATTTCATGTTCTAGTACCACTGTTGGAGGTGTCCAAATATTTCACAAAAGCAAAAAGAACAATGATGCGGGAAAATAAAATTAAAGAGACTGTGAAGTAAGGGCCCATGCACAAAGCAATTGAGACAAATAAAATGCTACTATCATACTACCTCTGTTGTTTTATACTTGTGTTGACATCGACATGGTCTTGAATTATATTTGGCCATTACCTCTTCTCTAAGCATTTGCTGTTGAAAATGTTTACTTTTGAAGTATTTTTCATGAAAAATCTACTAATACCTTTTTCATATAAGACTATTGTAGACAGACCCTTGTTCCTAACATTAACTTTAACAATTTATTATATTTATAAAAATCTTGCTCTAATAGATATTCCTTTGCTGCACCTTGCTTTACAAGACATTTTTTGTTGGTAAGATCTTTCATTGTATCCTTATAACGAGTTACCTTTTAGTTGCCTTTTTCTAATGGGTATTATTGTGACCAGATGTTATGCCTCCTAGATTAGTAAATAGCTCTATATAAGCCTAGGTTATGGCAGTTGCGGCGTTAGCATTGTATTGTATTAATTAATTATGTAGAAGTTGCAACATCATGGAAAAAGGGGATTATGAACTATATGTCAAGTGGATACTCATGCATTTGCAGTGGTACATTTGTACTAGTACCATTATGATGTTTATTTGGTATCTGCTAACCTCTCTTTGTTGCAGCTGCCTGATGAAGCCATACTATCCGAGGTTCTTGAAGCTCCTGGTGTTCAAGATTGGTTCAACAAAGCTGCTGATGTTGGAGATCCAGATGCACTCTTTCTAGCTTTGAAGTTGCAAGAGAGAACTATTGTCCAGAAGGAGATATTTGGGAAGCTCCTGCCTCATCCATTCAGCTCTGACAATTTTTTTGCAGAACAACATCTTAAATCCATTGCTGCTTGTTTCAAGGTATTATTCTCAGTAATAGTATAAAGGAACATAAGAATTTCAAATTTTGTTACCACCAAAACTGATCAAGGTGTTCTTTGTAATTGTTGTTTCTCATTTTTTTTATCAGTGTGTCCTATGTTACGTGTCATTTGGTTGCTGATCCTTTGGTTTGATTTAACTTGTGCAGGAATCTGCCTTTTGTCTTCCTCGTATTCATAGTTTATGGCTTGTCATTACGGAGATGCTTGTTCGAGAAGCAGCATCTCAGCATGATATTAACACCAGTTCTGGCAAGAAGCACAAAAAGAATAAGAAAGCCAGCTCCTGCGAGGATAACAAAAGGAATCTTAGTAATTTCTGTGAGGTTTTAATTGAAGGATCTTTGCTGCTCTCATCTCATGACAGGAAGCATTTAGCATTTAGTATACTTCTTAGCCTCCTCCCAAAATTGTCTCCTTCAGCTATCCAAGTAGTTCTGTCCAGCAAAGTTGTTCATGGTTTGATGGATATTTTGTCAAATGAATCTTCATGGTTGTATAATGCCGGAAAACATTTTCTGAAAGAGTTAGTGAGTGTAGCAAGTCATGACAATGATCGGTGTGCTGCTGTCATTATCAACTTACAGAAATACAGTGGTGGAAGATTTGACTCCATGACAAAAACAAAAATTGTTAAAGAGCTGGCTGGCAAATTCCATAGTGTTGAAGATTGTTTGTATCTTGTGCAAAATTTGATGGCCCTATTCGTGGATGAAGAATCTGTTACAGATGAACCATCTGATCAAAGTCAGACAACCGATGAGAATTCAGAAATTGGCCCAACTGAAGAGCAGGAACTTCTTGGGCAAGGGAATACTGATCTTCTGAAGAGCTGGGTGGTGAATACAATTTCTTGTGTTCTAAAAAGTTTAAAGCTTACATCTAAAGGGAATTCAGATTCTGAAATGGCTAAATGCATTGAAGAAAAGTTTCAAGTTCAGACAGAAATATTAAAATTCCTTGCAGTTCAAGGTCTGTTCTCAGCATCTTTAGGAACTGAGGTTACATCATTTGAGTTGCAAGAGAAGTTCAAATGGCCAAAGAATCCCATATCCACATCGCTACGTAAGGAATGCATAGAACAACTTCAATTCTTGCTGGAAGATGCACAAAAGGATGAAGCTTTACATGTTCCTAGTGAGGTCAAATCCAATGACTTAGGCTACTACTTTATGCGTTTCATTAACACCGTATGCAACATCCCCTCAGTCTCCCTCTTCAGGACTTTGAGTGGCAACGATGATAACGCATTCAAGAAATTGATGGCTGTAGAATCAATGCTTTTCCATGAGGTTTGTAATTGTTTGTGTTCTAGCTTATTAACAAGCTATGTTTTATGTTTTCCTTTTCTTGTTGGTTACAAGACGATCTTGCTAAGTAGATTTTTACTTTAGGGATAGGGATCACAAATGCTCTGCCTGATTTTGTACATGCTTGTCCATACTAAAAATGTCTATTCTGTTATCTGGTAGAATGAATTATTAAAGTAGTTTCTAAGATTCATTCAGTGCTGTCAATGATTATACCCTTTACTGTTGTTAAGATGGATAGTCTTAACTATGTGAGTATGTAGAACTTCGCTTGAACATACTAAAACAAAAGCACATGCATTGAAGCTCCTGCATGCTTGAACTGCTATGGTACAACACATGTATCATTACAGTTGATATGCATCGTGCTTTCTGAAACAATCTAATCACTAAGCACGGAATCATCTTTTTCAACACAGTAAGACCTGATTGCAGCTTTACCAAGTTGGAGTAGTATTTTTATTTTATTTTATTATCCGGCAGTTGAATTATGGAGTGTGATTGAATGGGTTCTTTTGTGTTTCTTAAATGGGGTGAAAAATAGAACAAGAGCTGATGCTTATCTAGAACTAATGTTGCATGCTTGTACCATATATTTCCTCTCTGGTTGCCATCTAATTTCTAATGTTTCTTCCTGTGTGAGTAGGAGAGAAAAACTGGTCCTGGATTGGAGTCTGCTAAGATGAATGCAATGCGTTATCTCCTTATCCAGTTACTGCTACAAGTTCTTCTCCATCCAGATGAGTATTGGGAGGCCGCAGTTGATGTGACTATATGTTGCAAGAAATCCTTTCCTGTCATTGCTCAAGGTGATAATTCCAGTGCACAAGAATCCGCTGAACACGGTTCACAGGAGTCTGATGAGGATGGGTCTGAGGAATCTGACGAGGATGGTTCAGAGGATCCCAATGAGGAAGTGTCACTAGAGTTTATGGATGTTCTTGTCCAGACTTTCCTCTCTGTTTTGCCTCATGCATCTGGACCTGTGTGTTTCACAATTGAACAGGCAAGCATACTCAGCTGTAATCTTATGGACTGATAGTATTGAGGAATCTATGCTAATAATACCTGGGATATGCACATGCAGTCTTATCTTTTATTATTTTGTGTAATGCCCTTATGTAAAATATAACTGATGTGTTATTCATATCTTTTCTTTGAAACAACAGGTTTTTCGTGTGTTCTGTGATGATATTACAGAAACTGGTCTCCTTGATATGTTGAGGGTCGTGAAGATAGATTTGAAAGGCCATCGTCAAACAGATAGTGATGACGAAGATGATGGTCGTGTTGATATTGAAGATGATGATGAAACTGTAATGGAAGATGAAGAGGTTGGGGAAATTGATGATGTTACAGATGGTGAAGATGATTCTAGTGATGAAGGTGATGTGGATCAAGATGATTTCAACAAAGCAATCCTGAATGAGATAAAAGGTGGAGATAAAGCAGAAGCTACTAAAGATGGGGATGATTCAGATGATTCAGATGGCATGGATGATGATGCTATGTTCCGTATTGATCCTTACATTGCAAGGATATTCAAGGAGCGCAATCTTTCTGGTAGTGAGACTAAGCAATCTCAACTTATGCGATTCAAGCTTCGTGTGCTTACGTTACTTGATATATATCTTCAGAGGAATCCAGGTATATTCCATTTAGCTCTTACTACTACAGTTTCTGTCTAGATGATAAATGAAAGATTTACTTCTTTTTGCAATTATTGTGATATTTTCTAAAGCAATACTATCTTCTAATGTTGTTTCAAACAGTTGTGTCGATATTCTTTTTACCAAGTTAGAGAACTGTTTGAAGGACTGCTATTTGATTGTGTAATTTATATAGAATTATAGCCTAGAGATATTAGAAATAGTACTTGCAGTTGTCATATTAAAAATAGTACTTGCAGTTGTCATCGAATTACATTATGCAACTTCTGTTCTATTGTTTCTTACAACCTTTATGTTCCATCTCTACAGGGAAAGTTCTGGTGCTGGAGGTGTATTCTTTCTTAATGCAAGCTTTTGTAAAATCACATGGTGCTGATGGTACTGAACAGTTCAGGCAACGTATTGCTGGCATACTGCAGAGGAGGGTATTCAAAGGGAATGAGTATCCAGAAGGCGATGTCGTTGAATTTGGTAAACTTGAAAGCTTGTTGGAGAAAGCTCTGAGGTTGGCATCACGCTCAAGATATAACACAGTTGCTTCTGTAGCACAGAACGCTACATTTTGGATTCTGAAGATCATCAACTTGATGAATTGTTCTGAACAGGAACTTGCAAGTGTGGTTGACAAGTTCCATTCTATCTTGAATGATTACGACAGGAAGAAATCACGGCTGAAGCTTGGTTTTGTGAAGGAGGTTGCTAAGAGGAATCCTTGGATAGGACAGGAGCTTTTTGGTTTTGTTCTGCAGAGGACCGAGAACACGAAAGCTCAATATCGGAGAAATCAAATGCTGGAGTTGGTGGACTACATACTGAAATCATGGGCCGGTGATGCGTCAGAGGTGTTTTTGAACCATTTGGCTCAGTTGTGCGGGTTGATACAAGAAGCTCTTTCAGCCGTTCCTGAAAACAAGTCGCGCCGCAAGGAAGTACGGAATTTTTGCACTGGAATCTTGCAAACGGTGTTGAAGCTTGATCTCAAAGAACAGTTCCAGAACGTGTTGAGTCCTGAAGCTTATTCCCTCTGCGAGGTCAAACTAGGAGCTGCGTTTACCACCTTCAAAAAATGATTCTGTGGGACCGTGGCTCCCTAGAAATTTTATAAGAAGAATTAGTTCTGCTTGTAGTTTTTGAGCTCCGTGAGAGTAGGATCAATCAAAATACTGTGTACTTGTGCTAGACTATTAGCCGCCAGGAATCATGTACAAGTTGCTTGGGCCCTTATTGGATACAAAATATTTTCATGTTGTTGAGATATATTCCCTCCGTCTTAAAAAGGATTCAATTGTAGAACAGTGCTATATTAAAGTATGCAAAGTTTAAGTATGCAAATTTTGATCGACTTTATATAAAAAAGTAATATTTATCTTGTTTTCTCCGTTTTAAATTATAAGTCGTTTTGATTTTTTTTTTCATCGGAGGGAGTATTTGCTATGAAACATGTTTTCATGGTATGTTAATGTCATGAAACATATTTTTTACAATATACTCTCTCCGCCTAGAAAGGAAGACAATTCTCTCATTTTGAGGTGCAATTGCTTTCAAGTTTGACTAAAGTTTTACTTAAAAATATCAACAGGCTAGCAGTCTAAATCTGCATCCCACTATTCGCTCAAAATTCTGGTATCCAGCTATGCAAGTGGAGGCTTGCATCCGCATTGCAGGCCACGGTCTAGCCACTGCATCCGCTCTGCAGTTTTGGCACCCATTCTGCATGCACTGACTGGACCTTCCGGTTCTTGCCTTCTTCGCCACGATGTCGAGCGCCGCCTCCGTGGGGATCCGGCATGCCTCATGCGAACAGCGCCACCGTGAGGATTGAGGAAGCCCTTGAAGCTGGAGCCGTCGACGAGGCCGAATAAGTCCGTGACGCGTGCGACCGGCAGCGAGATCGAAGAAGTTGGCGACGCGCATGGCTGCCAGCGAGGTCGAAGAAGTCCTCGACGCACACGGCGGGGTTGCCGGAGAGCTCCTGCAGCCGGAGCTCGAGCGGACCATCACGGGCGCGGCGAGCGTGCCACTATCGATGCCCCCCCATGGATGGAGACCATACGGAAGCGGCCCACACAGATCACGCACACTCCAGCGACGATGCGCCAAACGAGGAGGTTGGACTCGAGGATTTAGAAGATCTTGGGCACCTGTTGAAAGAACAGCCAGCTTGCTAGCTAATGGGAGATCTCCGTGGCCAGGATGTGGGCTTGTTGCTCTGCAGTCTCCGTGGCTCTCGTTGGCTAGCGGCGGCCAGGGCTCCAGCAACCAGGGTGCATAGTGCAGTGCAACCAAACACAGATTACTAGATGCAGTTTGCCACTGTACATCCAACCAAACAGATGTAGTCTAACCAAACAACAATGAATTGCATTCACTTGTGTATGGGTAGCATATACTGCATAACTCTTAATGCAATGCAAGTTCTATACAAGTAATTAAACAGACCCTATCTGCATTGGTCGGATACATTTCAGTCTCACACGTAATTGAAGTTCAAATACTCCGAAATAAAAAAAATCCAAATACTCTGTTTCCCTCTAAACCCAGCACTTAAGGGCCACCGCCGTTGTCCAATTGCCACCGTCTTCCCACCCGTCCACCCGCAAACGGGAAACCCATTATTTTTTAAACCTCGAGCGTGGGTCATCGCCGTTCTGCCATTTCCCCTGTCTCGCTCCAAAGTCCTCTTCCACTCCGTCGCTCTCGGTTGCTCTCCACGATCCCTCCATCGCGTTCGGTTGCCTCTTCACGTCCTATCATTCCAGGTACGGCCTGCGGCGTGGCGCCCTCCACCCATGACGCGCTCCGCCACCCAACCCTTCCCGGTTGTCTCTCCTTCGCACTCGGCTGCTCTCTGCGTCCGTCGCCGTTCGAGGTACGAGGGCTGCCTCGCCTACGGCCTACCTCGCCAGTTCGCTCGTATTCCCGTCCGAGGCGTGCTGTTTGTTGTTTGATTGTCTCTGGTTTTTTCTTCTCCGAAGGCGATGATGGCCTCGGCCTCTCCGTTTGTTACACCCATGGCCAACGGCGAGGTCACCGTCGACACTAGCACTCGAGCGATACAAAGCGAGGTGGCGAACACCAGCGAGGACAGTCTCTACCTGAGCGATTCTTTTCTGAATTTTAGTTTGAATGGAATTTCCCCTTCGAGTCTGGGCACTTATGTGCCATTACACGTTCTAGCCGATCGGCCCCACATGTCATACATAGAATAAAAAACATAAAATGCTAAATGCGCTTCTCGCTAGGGCTCATGCCTTCTCTTGTTACGCCTTCCAGCTTCACTCCTTCGTGCCGCCTGTCACACCTCCCCCCGCTGAAGATTCAGCTCGAGCCCAAGCTAGTGTGTAGTCTGCAACAAATGGTTGAGTTGTGAGATGTGAAATACTGGATGAATTAGTGCTCTTTTAGGAAGTTCCAGGCGATATGCAACCGAGCCAATGCACTCCAGGACACAGTATTGTCCAAAGTACTTGTAGGCGAGCTTTGGGAAATGCTTGTTAGCGACTAAAGCTTATGTATATGGTTGCAATTTCAACATAACCTAATCCGATTGTGGTCGGCCAATAGTTTCATTCGGTTTTGTGTGTTGGTCAGGTTGTGCTTCAGTGATTGGAGATGGAGGTTGTGGTTGGCAATGATGTTTGCCACTGATGGAGAAGTATCTGCTCATACCCATAGAGATAGAGTGCTTTGAAGTGTGAGCAACCGAGTGAAGTATGGAATGAAGAGTTATACCAAAGTTCAGCTAGTGACAACCATGATTTCTAGGCTCGGGGAGAGTCTTGCATAGACCATCTCAAGAACATCTCCAAACACTGATTTACTCCTTTGGTCGATCTGTCCATTAGTTTGGGGATGGTAGGCTATGCTTAGCTGAAGGTTGACCTTGTATAGTTTAAACAATTCCCTCCTGAAATGGATGAGAATATTGTATCGTGATCAGTGACAATAGAATTGGGAAGGCCATGTAATCTGACAATATTGTCCACGAAGCAACACTAGAGGCCGTGTATGCGTGTTTGAGGGGAATGAAGTGGGCAAACTTGGTGAATATGTCCATCGCCACCAAAATAACACTGTATCCCTCTGATTTGGGCAGACCCTCTATAAAATCCATGGAGAGGTCTCTCCACACTGCTTCAGGTATGGGTAAAGGCTACAGCAGTCCCAAGGGGTGTTGGAGAGTATGTTTGGCATGCTGACACACAGAGCACTATTTGGTGTAAATGTCTACACATCTTGCTTCATCCCTTTCCATGCAAAATGTTTCTTGAGTTTGTAATATGTTGCAGCAACCCTAGAATGACCTCCAATTGCACTAGAGTGGAATGCAGCTATTAATTTTGTTTGTAAAGCTGAGTTCTGACCAATCCATATAGTGTTGTTGTGTTTGATGAGGCCCTTGTCCAAACTGAAACTAGCTATATCAGGGCTTGACACTGCTAGCCTTTGCAGCAATTGTTGAGCTTTTGGGTCAGTGGCATATGAATTAAGGATTTCTTGAATCCATGTTGGTTGGACAGAGGACACTGCTTGTACTGCCAACATATGAGCTATCCTGGACATGGCATCTGTTACCAAATTCTCTTTGCCTTTTTGTAGACAATTCTAAACTGTAATCCCGTGAGTCTTGTCATGGCCTTTCTCTGCATGTCTAAATGCAAGTTCTGATCATTGAGGTATGCTAGAGACTTGTGGTCAATTAGAATGATGAACTCCTTTCTCTGCAAATAGTGCCTCCATTTCTCAATGGCCATGATGAGGGCCAAAAATTTCTTTTCATAGATGGAGAGGTGTCTATGTTTCACTCCTGGTGCTTTGCTCAAGTAGGCAATGAGCTGACCTTTTTGCGTGAGAACTGCTCCAATGCCATCCTGACAAGCATCTATCTCCATAGTAAAAGTTTCTTGGAAATTTGGCAGAGTCAAGACTGGAGTTCTGGTCATGGCAACTTTGATGTTGTCAAATGCTTGCAGAGCATCTGGAGACCATTTGTACTGCTTGAGCCATAACAACTGCAGTCCATTGTTTTTCACTAATTTGCTATAGTATCCAGTGAGACCTAAGAACGCTCTCAGTTCAGTGATAGTAGTTGGGACTGGCCAACGACAGAAGGTGGGTTTGGAAGCAGTCAGAACAACGAGGTAGAGCAGCAGAGGATAGGTAACACATACTAGAGTGCACTATCCTAGGTCCTGTTTGGTATGGCTTTTGCCCTAGTTTTACAAAGTGTTTTACAGATTCTCCTAACAACTTTAGTTTCACCGATAAAGCTTCTTTATGGAACTGAAGCTAAAAAACTGCTTCACTAGTGAGCTGAGCTATACCAAATAGGCCCTTAATTTTCATCTATGCATGTAGATAGTTGTGATCAATACATTGGTTTTGCAAGTAATTATTTCCACATTCATCATTACACATAGACGGAGCAAACCAGATAATGGATACAAAAAGAGTAACATATTAGCCCCTTGAACTATGGAAATTTAGCTTAAATGCTCTACGTGCAGTGGCAATGCATGTCTTTGCCTTAATGAGTAACAGTTTTAATATGTACGGTCCTAAATAAAAGGAACAGAGCTTATCATATTGGCTTTCATATTATGAAACATTGATAGTAGTACATAAAAGGATTCACTAAAGTAAAATTTGATGCGTTATTGATTTCAGTATATATAGCACTAGTACGAACACACAGTTTGCATGCATGCCCGCTTATAGGTCGTACGTTGGTGTGCTGACATGGTATTTTGTGTCGAAGTATGACACTTGGAGAGAAGAGAACCATGTTGAGACTAAATAGGAGTACGATAAGCCTTGGGACAAGCCAGATAGGTACGTGCGCAAAAATTGACGTACTACATTATGAGATTAGGTAGGTGCGTACCTTCTTACATAACATGCAATCAATTTTTTGTTTGATATTTAGAAGCTAACCAAGACATATATAATACATGTATGCATGTACGGATGGATGCAGGGTGTGCGTCTATTGAAAGTGACCGACATCGATAGTCATGTGTTCGAGCCCGATGATGATAGGTGGCTATGTTTTCATGCGAACTTCAGTGCC